CTAAGTCAGACCCCCTGGCAAATGGCCAAAGAACCCTTCTCCCCCAAGCCAGCCAGCCAGCCACCTCCATGGCCAGCACTTTGCCATCAACTCTGCATTTTATTTTGTTTTTATTAAAATATATTTTTATTGATTTCAGATAGGAAGGAAGAGGGAGAGATAGAAACATCTATGACGAGAGAGAACTGTTTCTTAAACTGAACTGTGATATAAAGATAAGCCTTGTTGTTATTTTAAAGAAGAAAAACAAAGATTATTAAATGTTCTAGTTTATTTAGCAATACATTGTATAAACATCCATGTTCTAAGGCTGACTTTAAGATAAATGCAATGAAAGTTCCATAAATTCCCCTTAAAATTGTATATGCACTGAAAAAAATAATTTGGCTGACGAATCTGCTTTATTTCAGATTTTGTAGGTTTGTAAAGTAAATAATTCGTTGACATCAACATAGATGATGCTTTCCTCTGATTCCAGTAAATAACCCCAATTTTCAGCTGAAGAAAAGAAGAATCAGTTAAAAGGTTCCAATTATTTCTTTTGTGCACGTGAGTGAGAACATATTTAATATAAATTTAACAGTCACTTATTTGTTCATTCAACATTTATTGAACACCTGCTCTGTGCCAGGAACTCTGTGAGCTAGCGGGGAACAGAGCAGTGAACAAGATAAATATAGTTTCTACTCTGTGGAGCTCACATTCTAGTCAGAAATCTTGCCATTAAACAAGCACAGACAGAAAGAAGTCAACAATTGAGATGAATGTGGTGCGAGCAAACGAAGGGCGCTTATACTTTCGGTTTACTTACCAAACTATGGTTTCCTGCTGAGGTGGTTTTGATGCTTTAAAATTCCGATTTGACTTATAAAAGATATTTGAATTAAAATTAAATAAAAAAATAGAAAGCCTACTATAGACACAAAATCATTTCTGATTGTATCTGTGAGGAATATAAAAAATGACACAAAACTTTTAAAATGCTAGTTATTCTAGAAATGCTTTTAACCACGCCGGTTTCCAAGGGAATTCATGACCACTTCAGGTTAATGGTCATTGGCTGCTTGTTCAGCCCTCAATTAAACTCTGAACTTCAATTGTTATTACTTAATTGACTCGGTTATATTTCATGTCAGCATTTCAAAATGACCTTCCTTTTAAAAAATAAAGATTAGCCTGATGACATACCTTAGACCTTGGCTGAGCCTAACTCGCCGTAGTAGCCCCACGGGACATACACAGCCGGGCTGGGGACTTGCTCAGCTTTGCCCTCACCGGGGTCCTTTTCACCATCCTTGCCTATGATACGAGACAGCTCTAGAGAAACCCAAGTGATGAGGGAAAAAAGAACGAAAAACAAAATACATCTGTTGCCACTATTATTATTAAAATGCCACATAAATCCTCCAAAACCCATTTTATTCTAAGCACAGGGACTTAGACAACCTTAAATACCTTGAGTATCACCATTAAATATGGTCAAATTAGACTTGTTTTGCAATGACACCAGGGTATCTTTTTCTTCCGAGTGACTCCAAATGTCTAGCTGTTCCAATTAGCTGGATGGAAACCTAAGTCCCCTTCCCTTAGACATAAAGCAATAAGAACACGTTGGATTTAATGAGTCGGACTTCATATAAAGTAGGTACGACGCCAAGATCAGACTTTGCTATCCTGGCTGAAACAAATTAAGGCATCAAATGAGCACGTCCCCTCCCCCTTGCTCTGTGGAAAAGTTTTAAAAGTCTTTTTGAAGTACTTTGATCAAGCTTTTGAAATCATTTGAGGGGATTACTATTGTATGGAAACTGTAATTTATAGTGCTTGACCTAAGCAGCTTTTTGTCTCACAGCCCCGTTCCAAACAATAGCAGGAAAGTGAAACACACAGGGGAACCCAAGCTGTGCTGGTGATTATTTAATTCATAATTCCATCTTCCTTATTTAATCTTTGGGAATCCGGGCATGTTCTTCACAAAACAGGTCCGGGGCGTGTTGGCCACATGCTTCTGGAAGCATGAGCAGGTGATCCCAACCGTCACACGGGATCCTGTCTCACCTGAGGGGGACTCTGCCGACAGGTTCAGGCAGACTGCCATTGTTTGCCGTAGGGTTTCCTCTCCGGTGAAGCTGGCATTGTTCCTTAACCCGAGTTGAGTAGGTGCCAATGGGGAGATTTTCTGCCCCCCATCCTTGCCAGAAAATAGTGACCGCTTCCCGGCAACGTGTTCCCATCAGATCCCATGAAAGAGGGCAAGCCTCCCCAAGACCAACAGCGGGGAGCGGCTGTTGGTCTTGGGGCGGCTTGCCCTCTAAGTCATACGGGCACTACACGGTATCAGCTTATATTTAATCAACTGAGCATCACCACTGGGGCTGGAAGTGGCTGCGAACCTCACAGGTTCCTTTGGCTCCTTTTGCCAGAACATTTACTGGTGGCCTAAAACCATCCTGGGCCTGTAAAGTTTATCGTCTTAGTTTAAAGTCACAGGATCTTTCAGATGCCACAATGCCCTTGAATGAAGGCTCTGGCAGCTGAGGATGCTGAGGAATGCTCTTCCCACAGGGGCGAGATCAACTGTTCCCACCCCCACTCTTCACTCCTAAGACATGTGGATCAGGATGACAACGGGCTGGATTTTTGTCCTGGGATGTTTCCCAGAGAAGAGCCCCGGAGTGGTGACAAAGTGCAGGATGCACGTGGGAGGAAACCGGCAAAGGCTAGCGTGGGGGCAGACGGAGGGGAGAGGAGGGAAGTGAGGGGAAGGAGACAGTAAAGTTGTAATCCCTTCGGAGCACAGGTCTGTGGGGGAGCAGGTTTATAGAGAGAGCAGACATCCACGGTATCTTGGCTCCAGAGAGGAGCGAACACAATGGGTGCAGCTCCTCGGTGAGTGGATTACCTGTTCACGTGGGCCCTGGGCATTCGTTAGCGTGGCCCATCTGGACCCTTTAGTGGGTTACCTCATCTGGGGCTGGCAAGTCCCCGGGAGGCCTCAGTGAGTTAATGCACTGCCCAAGGACCAACAACCTATCCTCTTTTCCAAGGTGGGATCAAGTCCTGCAGACAAGGTACCCACACCTATGGCCGAGAGAGAAGCATTTCCCCTGGAGAGCCAGCTCTACTTGGGACCCCTGAGCCTTCCCTTTTCTATGTGACTTTCTGAGTCGTTAGAAAAGTTGACATATCCCTCACCAGAAGGCAAAAGAAAAAAGCGATTCTCATTCTGTGTTTAGGGGGCTGTTTGAGATGGAGGAAGGAATCTTTCGGGTCACCTTAAATAACAGCGCTGGGCCAGCTTTGCTGGGAGCTGGGCGCTTGCCATGCTCCGAGCCGGTCTCTTCCTTATTTGTGAGAGCAGATGCTTGGCGAGCCCATATATGTCAGCGAGAACATCATTTAGTTTTACGTTTACACACACGCCTGCTTTCTGGGCTGGCATCCTTCCTTAGCGCCATAAAACAAGACCCGGCTTTCATGTTAATGTCCTAATGACGACGGCAATAAAAAAGAAGGTGACATCTTTGTGTCCACTTTCCAGGGCCGATGTTTACATAGTGTAAACTAAGAAAACAAACACGTAAACAAAGAACACACACAGATAAGTATTGCTGACAGAAAGAGAAAGCACAAGCTTTAAGCTCCCAATGCCGCCCGAAGAGGAGCGGGAATAATAATCACACGAGTCCTCATGCGGGGAAAGCGGAGTTCTGAGTGACTTGTAACTTCATCATGGTGTGTACAGTGGGCCGCTGGTCCCTCTGCCACTTTGAAGAGCCAAATTTGAAAACCTTACTCATAAAGGAACACGGATCCCTTCTCATAACACATTAGGTCAGGGCACCGGGCAGAAGAAGAAATACGAAATGCAAGCACCTCTATTTTTTTTAAATTTGTGTACCCTCACCATAAATTTGTTTAATGTAAAACAAACAAACCCTCGACAAGGGCTTAACAGGGTTTTCAACATCTCTGCAGATAAATGTAATTTATTCCCAAAGAAGAAAAGCAGTTTAGAGCATGCAAGGAAAACTGCTCTTAACAACAGTGTGTGTGTGTGAGAGAGATTGTGTGTATCAAGACAACAGCAGTGGTTTCAGATCATTCGATTTCACTCACAAAACCTGCCCGAGGCACTTTACGTGGAAAGAGAAGTTTGCCTGATACCTGCTTACCAGTTCATCACCTCTCGCTTTCCTTTTTGTTGAATGCAACCCCTGCAAAGCTAAAATCCACGCCTTCGGACCTGATATGTCTCTGTCTTCCCAGAGGAAAAGCAGCAGGCAGACTTTGGGAACCCTTTTAGGTACAAAATGAACCCAGTGCTAATGGCATGGCCAGTTTTTTGAGAGAACCACGCAATGCAGATAACTTTAACATGTTTGTAAAAACTTACACCTTTATTAATAGTTCCAAGCTCACCAGTTCAACACTATAAAGTCATGTTTTGTCAGTGTATTTTACTAAATACATTTCTGGGCATACACTCATTTTGAAGTTCCCCAAAGATAGATTTATAATGAATTTACTGATGTTTTTGCTTTAGAGTGAAATGTGATGTGCAGCGTAAAAGGTGACTAAGTAAAGTGAAGAGATACACGCTCTGCCTGATTTTTGTTTAATTGAAAATCGTCCCAGCTTCATGTCCAGCGCACTTCATTCCTTCAAAGCCAGATATTTCTAATGCCCCAATTATGAGCGTTTTTTTTTTTTATAATTACGTGGTTATAAAATGCAGATAAAAAGCAGTGCACCAAATGCACCTTTAAAGAATTTTACCCATAAAAATATGATCGCACGTCGCTGAGAACTAGCCACGTTTTAAAAATAAACTCCTGTCTCCGCTGGCACATCGCTCCAGCCGCCCGCTCCGCGCTCCCCCCCCCCCATGTCCGCGGAGGACTGTGGTTTGCAGTCACAATGTAACTAATACTTTCGAATGAAATAAACGAAAAACGTTTTGCTGCTCAAATGAGTATTAGAAAAAGAGGAAATTCTCATCAAGTATGTTTCTCAGCTTGGCTCAGGGCCGCGGAAATCAGGAAGAGCGAAGCCTGGGCAGAGGCGAGGAGGCTGCCCTCGGGGCCCGCGGGTGAGGGCGAGGGTCCGGCTTCAGACTGCGGCCCCGGCCTCGGCCAGGACAGGGCTGGAGGCTGCCTCGCGGCCCTGGGACCCTGGGTGTCTGGGTTGCATGAAGAGCAGCAGGGAGGGGAAGGAATCTTAGGGGGAGAAAAAATAAAAATAAGAGGGTGATTCAGGAACCGGGAGGAGAATTGAAAAGGCACACCTTTGCGTCCCCGCATTTCCCGGTTGGTTCGGGATTCAGGGAGAAGCCGTCCGGAAGGAAGACGGATGATGACTATCTATAAACCGACTGTTTGACAGAGACAGAGACGCTGACAATGAGCGGGTTGTGTCTGCAGCTCTTGGCTGTTCACGTCGGCGAGGGCTGAAGGAAAACAGAGACTCTGGCTGTGTTTGTCTAAAGAGGCGGTGGTGACCACGGGCAGGAGGGTTCAGCGGGAGTTCAGGGCAGATGCTGCCAGGAGCTGAGCCGCGGGAAGTGGGATTGCTTCCGGATCCGCCTTACCCGCGGGCACAGGGCGTCAGGGCGCGGCGGCGCCCTGGCCCAGGGTGACGATGTCCGTGGGGAAGCAGGCTTTGAGCAGGATGCCCCTCTCCCGGTTGCAGTCCAGCTCCTGGATGAACCCGTACCAGTAGATGACCAGGCCCGGCCCGAATCTGCACAAACACAAGAAAACAACACACATGCATAGAATTAGTGGAGTTTCCCCCACACAGAAATCGCTAAAGTATGGAGAAGAAGGTTAAATGGCATTACTATATGTTTATATTTTGGTTGCTATATATAGTGACCGAAAGTAGTGGAACTTAGCACCAAAGAGTTAAGTTAATACAAGGCAAATTTGACTGCCTTTCTTTCAAGGAACCCAAAGTATGTCAGATGTATGCACTGTCCTAATTACCACTCAGGAAGGGGCTATGGGTTTGGGCTGATGTGACTAGTTAGCTGATGGAGGATAAAACCTGAGTCGAAACAGTGACGAACCGAGAGTACCAGCTTGGGATTTTAGTCTTCTTACATTCAGAAGTACTCTGAAAAATTATCTTAGCTATTTTCAACGGAGGAAAAAGAATACTAAAGGGAAAAAAAAATAATTAAGAAAATGGAACAGCTCAAGGTCCTCTTTGGGCTGTCACGTTCTAGCCTCGCATCAGTAGGGCCCAAAGTCCCTTCTGTCATCCTTGCTTTTCATTTTAAAAGAAAAAAGTCCACAGGTCAATGGGACACCTCACAGAGCCCTTCTCCCCGGCCCTGCATTTTCTGCGCTACCACCTCTCTGTGTGCAAACACGACGTGACATCTGGTCCTAGGTTCTTACGAAAACAGGAACAATGGCAATAGACCTGTGACAAAGCGCAGACGGATGCAGGCTTAAAAATCTCAATTTTTCTAAATGGTGCCTCCGAATGATCTCGGATTTGGCTAGCAGCAGACTCAGGAAGTCGCCCTACGGATTCCTCACCCGTCAGGAAGGCGAGACCTCCAGGCTGGGTTCATGGAGATGCAACCACGACCCAATACCGCGCACAGAGAGGGTTTGCACATCAGTTGCACGTTTTCCCTACTGAAGGTACTTAATTAAAGGGCAGCACTACTTTTGGTGTCGCGTTGCAGGAATTTTACAGTGAAATCATAAATTATGAATGCTGGGTTAGTAAAAGGATGTCTAAAAACAGAACTGCTTTCTGTATTCTGACGTTACAGCAGGCTGAACCACGCCAGGCCAGAAAGCTCTTTCCTTCCATGATTTATTATACGCTGCGGTGTTCCTGCCAAAACTAACAGTACAGGACGGGCTGTGAGATACTGTGTGCACAGGAACAAGTTCAGCTGGATGTCACGGGCTGGTTTATTTGGGGATTCACATCAGTAAAGTAGCCCAGTTAGAGGCGAGATTCATGAAAACATTTTGCATCCTTTCCCTGCAAGGACAGAACCACGGGACGTGAACGCATCCACCGAACCTGTTCTAGCGAATGCAGGAGCTACATATGGATGGGACGCCTTGCAGAAGCAGGCCCTGCGACCTTTAGCTGAATGCAGGCCTGGCTGCAGAAGCTCTCTTCCTCCTCAGCGTCTCTGAGAAAGGTTCCTTTGGGGTCTGGAGACTCAGACCTCCTCGGCACAGGGTGTGGGCTCCCGTGTGCTGACATACACACGAGGCGAAGCTCACACCTGGATGAGAATCTGCTTCTCTGTAACCGAGGACTGCTTGGTAACGTTAAATCACAAACATTTGTCTGCAACAGGAGCATAGGCTATGTGGTGTCTTTATTCAACAAAAAGCACTGTGATTGTTATCAAATGATCTCAGATCTGTCAAAACCAGTCGGGGGAACGGATCTGAGAAGCCTCAAGTCTTCCCGTCCACAAAGCAGCCCTAAGTCACAACCTCGAAGACCCAACCCAGGGTGCAGAGAGCAGAGTGCAGAGCCTTCGCCTGGCCCCTCACGGTATGCAGCCATTCTGGAGGCCATGATGTTCTTTAGAAAGGCACTGATATTTTCACAAAGGGAGAAGAAATATGTGATCTGAACAGTCACAGGAAAGAACAAAGAAATATATGAGGGTCATAAACAACAAGCCCGGTGTTTTAAAGATTTAATAAAACAAAAACACACATCACCAGCACCGAGAGCAAGAGCAGCCTGAACATCGGCTGAGCAGCTAAATCATAAGGTAAAGGACACGAAGCATGACAGCTCTTTGCAAAACTGGCATTTCCCAGGCAGAGAAGCCAGGCTGGGGAACACCTCGGCCACCAAGGAAGTGGACTCGTTTCGCTTGTGAGGCAACAGATGAAATCTGCAACTCAGAAGCGTTTCTGTGAGATTGGGAATCTGAGCATGTCATGTGGTGCTCCCAGCCAAGGCCCTCCGAGGTGGTGACCAGGGTCTGTGAGTTGGTAAAGGTATCTATGACGAGGGATTCCTAAGGAGACTCTACCAGTTATCTAAGTGCTTGTTTCTCAGCTTTTGGATGAATTTATAGTTACTTAGGTAAGACTAGCTCTCTCATGTGGCTCAAAAACTCTGATTGAAAATATGTGCGTACAGACCAGGAAAGACAACCAGCCTTTGTAAATAGAGATTGGTAAATGGAGGCTTTCAAATTATTGGCCTTTGAGTGAGAAAGGTAATAGGAACTTTAGAGAGTGACAAGGTTGGAGATGTAATGACAGGACAAGATCTGGCCTTGTTCCTGAGTGCAGTTCTGAGCTGTACCCAATTTGGGATCCAGAGTCTATGAGATGCTGGCAAAATAACCTTCCAGCAACATGTCTATTTATGAAGAGGCTGCCCATGAGAACAAACTTTACATCATTACTTCCTTGGAGATCTGAACTAACAGAAGGGAACCTTATGGTTAACAATTGGGAATGACCAAGCGAGCCAACTTTAGCGTTTTCTTCTGAAAAGGTGTAAAACAGAGACAACAGGACCTATGATATTTTTATTATATGTGGGTCAAGTACATGCTTGTAGGCTGAGTGATTTCACCTTTTGGATGCCTGTTGCCATTTATTATGGCACTAGTGGACGAGAGTGAGATCGCTGGGAAGGCAAACATAACCTTTGTGACCAATAAAAATCAAAGAGACTGTTAACGGTGTTTAAAAGAAAACAGAGTCCCTGGGTCTGAGCGAATGTGCAAAGCAGAAGGTTGGCCTGCTACTGGGGTTGCAGCCCTCCACACCAGCCTGGGGACACGCAGTAATGGGATGATTATGGATAGCTGGGCTGATTCTGTAAACATATTGCTGGGCTAACTGTAACTTTAATGTTACTACTATACTCATGGTCAAGTAATAAGATCAAAGACTCCAAATGGATTTTACAAACTCATGTGCAGCAGACACTGGAATGTGAGGGACGTTTGAACAAGTAATTTTGCCTGCAAATAAAATACCACCAAATTAGCAAAAATAACAAATGCCTCTTGGAAAAAAAATGGGAGGTGAAAGTCAGGAGCCACGACAGACCCTGAGGGGATGACGTTCTAGGTAAATGACGACAACCTTGTAAATGTGTTTGTAATTTGCTTCTCTGGGTTGATTTCAGTGTTTAGAAAAATTAAATAGGAGGCTGTGGGACGAAAGCTGGGCACCCTTTTGGGTTTTTTTTGTGCACATCTGTCTCCCAGGGATTAGCTTGGTTTCACCGTGTGTCTCTCTGCTCTCTGGTGATCTTGTTGGGGTAAGCTTCCTCGCAAATTGTTGACATTTCTGTGACTGGATCTATGAAATTGAAGCTGGGCTTTTGTTTAGTTAGAAAAAAAAAACAAACTGGAGCCAACACACAAAAAAATTGAGAGGCTGTACACAAAATCCTGCATATTCACCATCTCCTGAGAAATGAACTGATACGACCATTACCAGTTGGAGCTGGGTCATGGATGCCCCCATGGACCTGCCATGTGCTCTGTGCCAGGTGCCATTCCTCATCACGCTGCACTTCAGCTTTTCTTTAATGTAGAGACCTACTTCTTCATACTCACATCTCAGGCAAGTCTGGGAAAGCAAAGACAACCTCAGGGGATTTCATGTTTCACTAAAGAAATAGAAGATAATACACTTCTTTTTTTAATGTTTGTGTTCTGCCTACTTTGCTCATTTCATTTCTGTTGCCTCCTTGTACCCCGTGGGCAATGAGTCTTGGTCCTGCCTCGAGAGCTAAGTCAGAGGTTCCCATACTTGGGCCAGAGGCCCTGGAGTGGCTGTGAATAGATTGCAAGACATCCTTATGCACACTAAGCACTATCCTCAGGGGGGGAAAAAAAAATAGATCTTGTCCTCTTTTGGAGATGTAGATAACAAAATAGGTAGCTTTCAGTTATTATGTATTTTCTAAGTAGATGGAATATGAAAGTACAACTATACCTGGCCAGTGTTGTTCAGTGGTCGAGTGATACCTGGTCAGAGCACATGCCCAGGTTGTGCACTCGATCCTAAGTGTGGGGCATGCAAGAGGCAGCCAATCAATGATTCTCTCTCATCATTATTGTTTCTATCACTGTTTTCCTCTCTCTTCCTCTGTGAAATCAATAAAAATATATTAAAAAAAAATAAAGCACAGCTATAATCACTTGTGGATAGGAGAGTTACCAATAATTTTTTTTTGTTGTTTTAAAGACTTTCAAATTTGGCAGGATTAGGGACACTGTTCTGAATGAATGTGTGACATGGAGGGGAACCGCAGACACGAAGGAGATTCTGTGACATGGGTAATACTGAAGATGTTTGAAAATACTGAGCAAACATGTAACTATCCTGTCCCTGCACATGAGGTTCATCTTCACAGTAAAAAAATGAGATAGAAGGAAAGACACAGTTCCTGCCCCGGGTCGCACTGAGAACCCACTCCACCGAGAGCAGCCTCGCTGCTGCTATCTACGGGAAGAGGTACAGAGGGAAGCACCTGGCTGCACTGGGCAGTGGCAGTAATGAAAAGGGACCCACGGCAGAGGTGGTGCTGTAGTTCTGAGTTGGGACTGAGAGTTGCAGAGAGATTCTGTGTTGAGGTGACTCCCAAGGTGATCCCCGCCTCCTGGGACTCGTGCCCCTGTTTAATGCCCTCCCTTTGAGTGTGGGCTGGATCTGGTGTCTTGGTTCTAACAGAAACAACACAGCAAAAGTGATAGGATGCCACTGTGATTA